AATTCTGATGGCAAAAGAGCCAAACGGGACAGGCCAAAAAAAAAAAAAAAGGTCCTGAGTTCAATTCCATCATCATGCATGTTCTCCTCGTGTTTACGTGGGTTCACTCCGGGTACTCCGGCTTCCTCCCACCGTCCAAAAGACATGCAACTTGTGGGGATAGGTTAATTGGATAATCCAAATTGTCACTACGTGTGAATGTGAGTGCGAATGGTTGTCTGTCCCTGTGTGTTGGCCCTGCGACAGACTGGTGACCTGTCCAGGGTGTACCCCGCCTCTAGCCCTATGACAGCTGGGATAGGCTCCAGCGCCCCCGTGACCCTGAAAAGGATAAGCGGAAGCGAATGGATGGATGGATGGACAGCTGAATAACACTGACCATATTGAATACCTCTAAAGCTGTTTTATAATGTCTGCAAAACATACATTCACATTTCATCAGTCAGTGATTTGCTTGCCTGGAATGTTGATTTTTTTCCACAAAACAAAGTTCATGAAACATTAACAAGCTGTGTGAGATCTCCATCTTTTAGATTTTTATAAATATCTACAAATGATCATGTTATTAACTGATAAAACAAATCTGATATCTTTTTATAGACTTAAAGGACAAAATAAAATTATAAACACACTTTGTTTTCCCAAGAGGCCATGCAGTATTTTAAGGGTTTTGAAATGATATGGTAAATATTCCATTTATAAACAGAAGCGGGAATCCAGTCGTATTGTCTTTTTTTTTTTTACTTTTTCTTTTTTTTATTACTTCTTGTACTATTGCAAAAGCTTTTCCCATTTATCTATGACACCACTGACTGCTATAGAGTCCATTTAGCATGGCCTAACCTTAAAAAATGGCTTTAATATTGCCCACTGAGCCAAAAGAGCCTGTCCTGCAGGTCTTGTATGTTATAAAAGATATCAACTTGACCAAAGAACACAAAAGCTGTAACTAGAATCTGTTACATCTGAATAAAAAATGTGATAAACCACAGGCAAGAGTCTTTTTATGGTTTTCAGGAAAGCAACAAATTGGCACAGGAAGGAAAGTATATCACCCTAAATGAACTGATAACATTGTTACAAAGGTTACAGCTGAGCAGGAAGTGGTGCTGGAAAGTGATAAAGCAGTCTGTTCCTCCAACTGAACCCTAAAAAGCTTGCAGATATATAAAAAAATAAAATAAGGACTGATCAAAGTGCCTTTACAGACTATACAGAAGAAAACTGCAAAGAATATGTATAGCATGAATCTTCCCTTGTGGTCATTATATCCATATATTCAGGCTCACAGGTAGATATTTCCAATTTTGTGTCTATAATAAAGGGAATGAATATTATAAAGGACATTTCTATTTTCTCTTTGATCTTTTTGACGGGTTACAGAAGCTCCCCTGAGGGACAGCAAGATGTCCCAGCCTCTGGACCCTGCCATGTCTATTGATCTGACAAATATCCTGCATAGTAACCTTGGGTGATTGTGAAGCCACATATTTATTAGTGAATGATTTTGCCAAATAAAACCTTAAAATTAAAAAGATAATTTTTGGTTTATTGGTCGGATTTGTTAAGAAATTATCGTCACTAATCGAAGTCATTCAAAACCAAATTGGAAATGGCAGAGAATGAATTCAGCGGCATTTCACCAAACAATTATATTTGATGAAATGGGAAAGTAATTTTAAGAGGACGTGTAATCTGTCTGTGTCAGATGAGTCAATCAGTCATTGTATTCAGCTTTGTCATTTTGGTTTTATGTAGTCAGTGTTAGAAAGCCTCAATAATGCTGACAGAACTGCTGCAAATCCCAATTGGGATTTTGCTTAATTAAATCACATTCATCAGCCTGCTGTTCATGTCTGATTAAAGCTCACTGTTCTTCAGTCACAGGCCTATTCCTGCCAGTGGCCTAAGAAGTCTGCCTGAGCATAATAAATTGGATTTTCTCTTCTGTCCTTTGCACATCCTACCAAACCGCTGCATGTCTTGAGGAACATGACAAAGGCACAGAGCAGAACATTTATGTTACTTTGGGATCATTCACAGTCCCTACCATTCAACTCTCCAGAGTCTAAGTTGTTGTACATCTGGCTGAACCTGCCTATTTGCAGCCTATTTCTCTGACCTGTTGCTTGCCTGGGGAGACTTGCCATGGCAGTGGTTAGGGCTCCACTATCGCAAATCAGCGTAAGTGGATTTAAAAGTGATACTGTTGCTTTTATCCCTCATTAAGAATTTAGCATAGCTGCAGATAAGCTGTTTTTTCCCCTTTTAATCTGGTCCTCAAATATGCTTTTTAGCTAAATGTCCCAGGAGTTTCCTTTTTTTAAACAATTTGGGAAATGAGTTTCTATATACTTTTT